AGGGTATCTATGCGGTCCTTTCCTCAGAGCGGCCCGGCGTCAACAGTATGATGAAGACAAGTCTTATGAGTCCCTCTGCCTATGAAACGTGTCTCTTTGCATCTGTGGAATACTGGTGTTTAACTCTACGGGGCCACATGGCCAACTGAAAAAAAACAAGGCACTTACCCCTAAAACAATCCCTCTGCCAAGGTTTCACATCAATGACGTTAAGCTAGATTGTCACCAATACAAATATCTCATATATGTGACACCCGGGACGAATGGGTTAATGATGCAGAGTTCATACAAAACCTCAAGAAAAGGATGTGGGAACGGCTGAAGCCACTTAGGACACTTGTCGGCAAATTGTCAATATTGCTAAACTCTTTTACCTGTCATACATACATACGGTCGGTCATAGATTATCATGCATTGCACCTAGTATTATACAAGGAATCAGAGTTGACTAGTTTAGAAATTGTAAAAAATGAGGCCATGAGGCTTATTCTCGGTGCCCCTAAAACAACGAGGATTGTGAATATAAGAACAGAACTTAATTTGCCGTCTGTCTATGAAAGAATATGATACATAAACACCACATTTAGCGCCAAAACAATAAGAGAACCCCTCTATTGTACAGAGTTCGAAAGACAACTAAAACATACAATAGTGGAGCTAACTTTGAATGGCAACATCGATTCAAACTCAAATCCATGGTTACAAGTAACATGTAAGCACTTGTCTCAGCTGAACATATCAATAACTAAGACCCTACATGGACGTTCTGCTCCACCGTGGAAAATGTCGGACCTAAGTGTATTTTATACGACTACCCCCAAAAAAGACAGTGTCGCCCCTGCTGTACTTAAGCAGCATGCTTTAGCGATTATCAATGAGCACTTTGAAACTATGCCCAATGCGTATGAATGCTACACTGATGGATCCTTGCAGTCTGGGAGTAGAGCAGGATGCGCTTTTGTCGTATATAAAAACAATATTTTGCAGCACCAGGATTGTAGGCGGGTTCATGACTGGGCTAGCACTACGCAAACTGAATTGGCAGGAATGCTCATAGCCACCGAATTTCTATTAAATCAAGGCTCTCCAGGCTTTGAACACACTAGGCAAAGGTGCAGGAAATATTCCAAATGACATAAGGATAAATGTGTATCGTGCAAAAGAACGAGGCCATGATATACGTTTTGTGTGGATACCATCGCATGTTGGAATACCCAGGCATCATCATGCTGACCGCCTAGCAAAATCAGCATGTGACAAGCAAAGTGTGGATATAGATCTTGGAGTACCTCTTGCTAGGATTTCACACATAATTAAAACTTCCTTCAAAGAGGACTTGTCTGACTTGATTAATTCTCAACGGCCTGAAAGCTGTAGCATAAAGCACCATGGCCGGTTTATGCAAGTAGTATTCATCTATGGTTTATACAAAACAAGAACAAGACAGTGTGATATTGTGACCGCAAGAATCAGGCTGGGATATAGATTGTACTGGCAGGTCAGTACAGCCTGTAATGTTGAAGAAACTAAGTGCAAATTATGCAAAGAAGAATATAAGCGAACACGTACATTATATCTCAGAGTGTCATGTAATAAAGCCTTTCAGACCACCTAGCATGAGGTATGGAGAACTATGTAACTACTTCATATCATCTGATGTCTTGGAAGATATACTTATGTTGTATCCTAAATTTGGAATGTAGTATCACATGACCACATATCAAATGTTACATTGCCTTTCCACGCCCAAGCCGTATG